TCCGAGGCTTAACCACATGGGCCGTTACTATTTGGAACTTCAGGTCCACTCACGATCAGCGGTGGACCTGAGATCCCTGCAGCGAAAAATGTTTCGCGCTGCGAAACGCGGAAAGTTGCTTTCTGTCCTAGTGAACCACACCCGCGTTGTCCCCTCTCCCCCCCCCCTCCGTAAGTTACCACCAGAAGAACGCCTCATTTTCGACAACCTTCACCTTTAAGATGGTATCTTGGAATACTTTTCACAGTCTCCCAAGTCTTCGGTAACACTCGTATCCATACTGGCTTATGCCATGCCACTATGTTTTGAACTGGTCGCAATATTGCAGAATTCTGTAGCGGCTTGTTGTTTGACGGCTGGATTCGATCCCTTGACATCGACGTTGGTGAGCCTGGAATTATGGGCAGAACTCGCCCTGCATTGAGTTCGCCTATTCAAAAAGATAAGCCTGAGGTAATATTTTCAAACTTATCTGGTTTTGAGGCAATGGTCATGGGATACATTGAGGACGTTTTTGAGTTTATGATTACTTATGTTGCTACTTTCCTCTGCTTTTATTGGGACTATTAACTATTTTTCTTTTCAAGCGATGTAAAATTTTGAAAGAGTGAATATCCTACTTTCTCAGTCGCAAAATTATTAGGCGGTCTTGGACTCTAAGTATTCTGAAATGATGCGTTTCGTTTAAATTCATACTGTGTTTGAGTACTGATATTGGTAAAATGTGCAGGATATAGTGAACTATTGGTTTTATGGTCTATTTTTGTATTTAAACAGAATTGTCTCTTACTCTTTTTCTTCATGATACCCATTACCATGAAGCTTTCGTGTTGGCTCTGAAATTTCTTTCATCAGGGCATGGAGACGGATCCACCGTTACATGATAATCATGGTGATGAAGCAATGGCTAGCAGCTCCGAGCAACACCAAGAAGAGTCAGCTGCTGAAGACTCGGGTACTCAGTTTACTGATATTGAATGCCTCAAGACGTACAGCTCCATGACGGTTAGTTGCATGGCTTTTTGACTTCATGAACAGGTCATTATTGCTCCGTGTTCTCTAGGCTTTATCTCGCATTTGGTTTCTAGTCTCAACCTTGGAGACGTTCGAAGCTGGTCTTTATAATGACTGGTGGTAGCGTAGTTTGGGTGAATATCAGTTCTTGTCTCCAGATCAGATCACCTCAGATCAGGATACCTCTGATTTGCTCGGGCCTTACATTGGTCTGATCATAGTAATCATAACTATTATATAAGCTCAAAGTTATTCCTAGTCTTCAGTCAACGCGCAGCTCTGCTGACCTAACCTAGGAGGAGAACTGACCCCCTCTCACATAGAGGGGGGAGGAAGCTCGTTTGAACGAGCTGTAGTGTTAGAGTTCACACTATCTCGCTGAGAGGGAGCAGACAGGGTGTGGTTCACTGGAACAGAAAGCGAACTTTTCGCGCTCCGCAGCGCGGAACATTTTTCTCAGCGGGAACCTCAGGTCCACCGTGATCATCAGTGGACCCGAATGGCATAGGCGAAAATCCACTTTAAATATTTTCCTCCGTTCTCCTCCACTGGTATTGTCCTCATAAGGACCTACATTATACCTAATCGTTGTTGCTTTAAGAGTAACTCGGCAGCTTTGCGTACTTCGGGAAATCCGTGAGCCAGGGGGACTGTAGGCAGTCTAGGGGGTTGGGGCCAGTCACTTGACATGCGTGAAAAGCTGGAATGTTCGAGTTCACACTATCTCGCTCGAGAGAGCCCAGGCGAGCAAAGCGCCGCGCCGTCCGATCCCGCGGGTCTCGCTCCCATCTCTCCCCCCAACCTAAGTTAGCTCAGCACGTCCATACTTTGTCGATCGAAGCGATATCACTCGATTCGCTTAGCGATTCGAGCGCTTACGCAAATATGACTGTCCTTGCATCCGCCAAATGTCTCGTCTGTTTTGGATAAGCTCACCGTATCCAGAAGTCAACAACAAAAATAACCCTTCCGATCGAACCTTCAGGGAGGTTTAAGGCAATCGCATAGAAATGGGGAATTAGTGGGACATACACAGTTGGAAACCTGTAACTTCGAATCATCTTTAGAATTTCAGTCATGGCAAGACTTCAACAATGCTCTTCCTGGTGTTCTGCAAGAAAAACTTGTCCGAGGTTCGTAGTTGATATTTTAACTTTTCTCTGTTCCGCTTGGATGTTTTGTTCTGCGTTATGAAACGTTATATTATTATTGCTTGCTATTCAGGAGCTATGAGAGCCAATGGAGGGTCTTTACCCTGCTTCAAATGTCACAAGAGTCTGACGTCGTCAATAGGGCTCATTATGCACTTGAAAAAATGCCGGAAATCTGCGAAAGATATTGTGAGCACTGACCACCCAGTGAGTTCTTTGTAATGAGTTTCAGCTTTCTCGTAATCTTTAACAAAGATCAAGACTAGGGGGTCCAAGTCCCTTATGAGATGCGTTACGCATTTCTCTTCTGTTCAGAGGTGTAATATTCCTTTGGGGGCAATCGGATCCTTAGCTGATGTGTTAACTTTGTTATCCACCAATCTGGGTTGTTATTTTAAAAGTTCTTTTCTATGTGCTAAATTTTCAGATATCGCTTACTGATCTTCCCCCTCCAGCACCAAAGCGAGTGAAGGTGACACCTAAGAAAAATATCAATCCCATCAATCCGAACATATCAGTCTCCTCCCTACAGGAATTGAAGGTTTGTTGAATAGATCATTGTTCATAAGATGTGCTTCTGTCTTCATTGTGATGCTTGCACCCTGCACTTCCACTTTCGTTTCAGAATTTGACTGGCTAATAACTTAGGAAATTTCCTCTGGAAGGTCTCCCATGTTTTCATATTCTAGGATGAACCTTCCATATGGCTTCGTCTCGACCAGAACGAAAAGCTCGATGTTTTGAAAGTATTTTTCCCTACAAGGGTTGTCGAATGTTTTGCTATTCGTCCATCTTCAAAGGTATGTTTGTGAAATGTAGCTCGCTATGCAGCAGCCCTATTAGTTGATTTTTAGAAATGTCCAACTTTCAACGACTACAAAAGAGCAGTTGCTCATCTGGATTCATGTGTTCAGCCGATGTATTTGACATACGTGGTTGGTTTTTATGTATCTTTACGTTACTTTATCTCGTTTTTTTGTTTATAGCAATGCCAAACTTGTGATGAAAATTTTGGTTCGAATTACTTCGCTTCTCCTTTTTTCTTTTTCTCCTTTTTAATCATTATATTCATAAACTTAGCCCGTTTGCTTTCTCCCAGTCCTTTAATCCCTTCTTTCTCTCTGGGGCCATATTCAATCCTTCCCTCAGGGGATGTGTCCCCCTCCTCTGATTCAATCCTCTGCTGGGGGACAAAAAAGGGTTGCGTCATAGGACCTCGCATACCTCTGTGTTTCTACCTGCCAGACAGTTAGAGCAGCGCGACCCCTCAGGGAAAGAGTGCTTCATCAGTGGAGGGTAGTAGCGCTGCTCTAACTGTCTGGCAGGTAGAAACACAGAGGTATGCTAGGTCCTATGACGCAACCCTTTTTTGTCCCCCCAGAGGATTGAGAGGATTGAATCAGAGGAGGGGATATATCCCCCTGGGGGAAGGATTGATACCGCCCCTGGTCACCCCCCCCCCCCCCCCCCCCCCCCCCCCCCCCCCCGCCCCGCCCCCCCCCCCCCCCCCCCCCCTTTTGAAAATACTCGCATTCTGAACCCTTCGTCGTCTTGCATACTTAATGAAACATCGTAACACCGCAGGCGCTAATTTTTTTTCACGTGCTGATGCGTGACTACTTAACTTCCTGCATTCTTTGCTGCGCTAGCTAAGCGCGCAGCTGTGAACACACTGGGCGCCCGAACTACTAATTGGGCCAGCTGAGCCCAACTCACTGCCGTGGCAAAAGGTGAGGTGTGAGAATCACAGCATCCATATTTTACTATTCAAAAGACAAAGCGCAGATCAGAGGAGAACGTAGATGCAGTTTAGCATTGACGTTCATAGAAGCTAGCACTGAGAGCATCTTCTTGAATCAATATTTAGACGGTTGTGAGTTTACCCTGGTTGCGGTGTAAGGCAGGAGCTGTGCTTTTTTTGATTCGAAAACGATCTCTGAACGTAGGAAGATTCTGCAGGGTTTTGAATGGGTTTGGTCCTAAAGCGCGGAATGATGCGGCTCGTGGTGGACTACAGTGCTCACTTTAGAGTTTTAGGAAGTACAGTAATCTCGGCGAAAAAAAATCTTGTAGTAGGATTGAAGTTGTAGAGTAGCCTCAGTGCTTTTATGTGAGGTTTTTTGCTTCCGTGCATTTCGTTTTTGTGATGCGATATTCAGAAAGACACATAATCCATGTTCCGCCTTCTATAGAGGAGGAAACTGTTCTCCTCCTATTTTCAAAATAAGTTGATCCAAAGTTATTCAGTTTGAGAAAACATAGGTGTTTGTAGGGTGAACGTGCAAGTGAATTCCGTTTGCTGGATAAAAAAACAAGAGCAAGATACGTTCGAGAAGGAATGGCGATGTGCATGCAGTTGCCTTGCATCGAATGTGGCAGGCTGTTCACACATCACTACGGTCTTCTTTACCACGTTGAACGGTGTAACGTATCAGAAGATGTAAGTTCAGGAGTTTTTATCCTAAGGGTGAAATTATTTGAATGTCCAACATGTAGGAAATGCCTTGGAAGTGTTACCGGTGTTCCATACATACAACACGAGCAAAGTCGCATGAACATCTCAGAGAATGCTGGGGAGTCGAACGTGCAGAGGAGGCGAAAGCGTTGTAGGTTTCACCAATTCGTATTGTTAGTACTTTGTGTCGTCCTTCAGCCGTTGGAAGTATTAAAAGTTTTCAGATCATCAAGTCTTGTGATGGGTGCTCTTGGAGATGTTAATCTCAGAAGTGGGAAGTCAATATTAAAAGATTCAGATGAAACGATTGAAATTGATGGTGTTCCGAAGGTACGCTCAAGCAGAGTTTCCTATGTCAACTAGAGATATGTTTGAATATGACATGATGTAGGTGAATGGTGTTCCAGATTTTTGACAAAATGTTAGTTTTTGCCAGCTGTAAGACCGGTGTCAGATTTGCGATTCGAACGATGCCGAGCAATTTTAGAGAGTAAGAAAGTGGCTTGGGAACTTTCATTCACATTGCTCTTGCCACTTTCTTGCACTCTCGAATCGCTTGTGCATCACTCGAATTGCTGGCGTTTCGCTCATACTCGATTATTTGTTAGTGAATCGATTCGCCAAGTCTGAACCGGCCTAAATACTTCAATTTTTGGCAATATACAGTTTTTGATGGATTAGTCGAGTATCAATGCACCTAATTTCCTGTCTGTAGGCGGAACTCGAGGGTTCATAGGGACCTAGGGTGTTTGACTTATAAAATGATATACAAGATGTATAAGGATAGATAGAAGGCATGCCCGCGAACTGTGCTAGTGGAGTGTTTTCGAATATACTCGCCCTTTGCGGGCACTAACGATTCGGCCGCGCTCCACACTGTGAAGAAAGTGGGGGAACCGTAACCCGCGCAGCATTCCTTGATAAGGAAGAAGCCGTGCTCGCCTGCGAAAAGGTAGAATGTGTTATACAGATGTGTAGAAATAGTTATTATTTTCTATGTTTTTATTAATTTTGATCTCTACGACAATCTAGCTTAAAACCATCAGTAAGTCTTCAGTATAGTCGTTGAAGGGATTATTACCGAGCTTATTGTTAGCATAGGTTGCAATATTCTCCTATCCGCTAAATAGTGCCACTTTTCAGTTGATTAGTGAACTCAATGCTGAAGAAGCCTTGAAATCAATTCTCGGATCGAAGCAAACGGCCTTGGTCAGAGTTTCTGAGGTTTTGTTTCGTTTTTGAATTCTTCGTACATGTTCTGAAAACCTGCAGACCCCTAAAAGACGTCGCACTTTGGCTGGAGTCAGAGCAAGTGTCTCAGGTGGTGTCATACCCGAACACTCAACTCGGATAACAATCAGTGGCGATGGAAAAATGCGATTCAAGTTCCGAAAGGCTGACATTAAAGGTGATTGCTCTGTCTCAACTCGTTTTCTTGTTGTGCCAACAAAATATATTAGGAGGCGTTGCTGGAATGGCAGGGTATCCCAGGTACCTCGAGTACGTGAGGAAATCCAATGAAAAGTGGAATGAGGAAGTTTCCGCTCTTCCTTATTGTGCACACTTGAGTGACATTAAACCCTCGGTTTGGAAAGCGACATCAAACTCGTTAGTTATTCCATTATTATCTTTCCTTCTCTCTCTTTGTTTTGCTTCACACATAAGTCTCACTCGCTGAGGTAGTTTCCAGTGAGTGTCACTATTTCGCCATAGATTTTACACTAAAGACCTCCACAATCCATCACAATTTAGGACACATCTACCGTATTCAAACAAGGAGTCAGTTGGCATGCGCATATTTGAGCAGCGGCATGTGGTACGCTTTAGTGCTCTTTTTATTATTTTGTTATTATTATTTAATCATTTTAACCCATGACATCAGGTTTTGAAACCAAGCTCAACTTGCTAATTGCTGTAGAAGGTAGATGGGGTCTTGTCCAGTAAGGCCGATGTCAGACTTCGCGAATTGAGCAGTTCGCTTCTAGCCATTCGCAAGCGTCGGCGGTCGTGTTGGTACAAGCCAATCGAGGGATTCGCTGGCCGCTATGCGATCGCAGACGCACGCAAACCGCTCGATTCGCATGGGACCAGCTTAAGGGAAGGGGAGCATTACCGTCCAGGGCGCTCAATGTATTTGAAATCACGGAAAGCATGTTGTTTTATTGCAAACGTTTACGATTAACTCCTAGAAGAGAGGAAACTCCGGGTACGTGACCAGTCTTTGTTTTCCATGGAGACTTCCTCCCTCTTGCTAGGCTTATTCCTGGCTGCCTAGTATGTGAATACAACTATTCATAGACGTTTATGTCATTTAGCACAAGAATATATACACTACACAAATAAACTGATGAAATACTATTGTAGTTCGTAACTTCAAAGGACTCTTTGCAAATTAGTATAGAGCAGACTACGCACCGCTGTGCCCCCTCTTACCGGATTGACCCAGTGGATGATATATGTATAGCTTTTCTGCGTTAGAACCGATTTGAGAGGTAGTTCCAGTTATAAACGCGCACTAAACAGCGCAACACGCCAATCTTGACGCCATAATCGCTAAAAGCAAAGTCGCCGGTAATTGCTGGGAGTATTGTCAAATAAATCCAATCGTAACAGAAAACACGTAGCCCGCAAGGCTCTGCGTCTGAGTGTGCAACAGGAAAGCTTACTACATATCGTTCAATTCTGTGCGAACCTACCCTATCTTGAAGAAAAAAACATTGTCGCCTTCCCAAACCTTGTGTTGATTGTTCTGACGTTCATAAATTTTGGTCGTTAAGGATCACAAGCCACATTCACTGAGTCGTGCCCGATGCGAAAAATTGAGCTGAGCTCTCTGTTAATGATCCACACAGAATTATCGTGAACGAACAGCTCTCAATAAAGAGATTCGGTAACCCGGATCCGCGTTTACTAAAGTGCAGATAAGGAAACCTAATAGCATCGAAACCTAGCCTGAATCATCATATCGTAAGCCCGACCCACGTCCGCGCTTCATATTCGGGTTGCTCCGCAGCGATGCCAATCGGTAATTGTAAACCGCGTTAGCCAATCGTGCTTTTCCCTCAGACTTCAGTCACTTGTTGCACCATTTACCCTCTGTATCCTGATGTTATGCGGAGGCTAGAACCATTCTCGGACCCAGTTGCTGACGTTTATCCTTCCTACGTAAACTGACACAAAACGTGCGCTTGTATGTCTTGGAACAAGCAAATGAATGGAAAACTCGGATGAGCCTCCGTGTCACTCAGTTTTGGTTGCATCTTTTTACTCCAGCGAGGCACGAAAAAAACAGTGAGCTAAGCGCATCTACGTTGTTTGACTTTGTCCTAATGTTTTTGTCGCTCATCGATAGAATATATCCGTCCCACGAAAGTCCTGATATATACCCCCCCATACCCTGGTTGCCGCTCATGAATATGCCTAAAACTCGCGCACTTAAAACGCCCGAAAAAAACGTACTTCCACACGGCAGCCTCAGGAAGGTGGTGGTCGCACCTGACCGCCCTCTGATATTCTTCGCGAGATGCTTAAATCAAATGAACCGCCTCAGCAACACCTAACCGTCATCTGAGTTAGGTAATCAGGTATAGCCTTTCAGGACTTCCTATCCCCATCGTGGTTGTGCGCCCGTTAACAGCAAAAATTCAATTTTGTGCCTGATCGAAAAGTCGCAGAGATGCAGAATGAGGAGCTCATCGAGAATAGATCGCGTTGCGCGGTCGCGAGCGAGTAACGGGTCACCTGGCCTTGTGAAACAAACACGTATCGAGAGCCTGAAACACTGATACAAGGCTTGTGCAATTTCCGCGTTTCTCACATACTGCCTAGACTAGCTTCTCTACAGACACACCGCCATCGAGTCCAACTACCCATTATTCCTGGTATCGACTTTGGTGTAATGAAACCTATTCTTTATAATTATGATTCATACAGAGCTGTCCACAAACTCAAACCGGCTATAATGGATTGTAACTGAAGGATGGATAAGACTCAGATAAAAGACCAAGACATTATAGACAGTGTTTGTGAGAGTATTCCTATTGAGTACGGCTTGTTGCCGTGATATGTCGAGTCCCACACAATCCAAGTCCCCTCAAGCCAGTTCTGCACAGAACGTTCTTATATCCGACCATAATGTAGAGAAGTTATAAAGGAAATCGCGTCAATTCGGCATCACACACGAAACCTATGCAGCTCGATGTAAATTGAAAATGAATGTTCCCTTGATCTCCGGGTTACTCGTATCACATTGGTTCCGCACGAGAGAGAGCAACCGTGTCTTTTGACATATAAATGTCACTTTGGGTGTAGTAAACAAGTGGTTCCTTCTTGAATATGTGACTCTCCATCGCCTGTAGTTCCCATAGTAAGCAACCATATTGCTATTTCTTCATGACGCAAACGTCCCGTTAAAACTAGCACAGCTTTTACCTGTTTTGCGGTGCTAACATGATCTGTGATGGGAAATAGCCATGTGTCGTAATAAGTAACAGCAGTGCTCAATGACCGTAATCAGTCCCATTGGTACGAATATTGTCTTGTAGAATCCAATCTAGATCTACGATGTCGTGTTTATCCGTCTAAAATGAAAATCACTTAACCTCAAGCGATATTCTTGGTGTTTGATCAGTGTGCTGCGCCAATGTGGGAGAACTAATGTAGCTCCCCCCTTAACCGACAACTGCCTGGAGACACACCTTCATAGGGTCGCTATAACGACCCCCCTGCTAGGCACGCTGGCAGTAAACTCGGCGATCGACCAGATGTGGAGTCCAAAAGAACCTGCGGAGTACTCAATAGAACGTAGCAGATCCCAGATCACAAGCTACTTTCCCGTGAGTACTGCGCACTGGCGTAGTGCCTGCATATACAGGTTTGAATTTTATCGGTTTGAGATGTTCGTCGTTCAGTAGGGGCTCCTTATCGTCCCTCGCAAAAGCTGACTTGCTCATAGCTGTTTACTTGGGTTGTTTACTACTCTTTCGATTTGAGAATCAAGATCCTGTTTTCCTTTTTCACCCAGGTAATAGATAGGCCGGATCCATACCCACTTCCGCAAACCTTCAATAAAGCCCTGTCGAGTCTTCTGAGATCGGTAAAACAATCGCAACGGTGTACCCAGTTTGTTAGCGCCTGCCCCCAGCACAAAGCGCGTTCCAAGGTGAGCTTACTACCCCCGCTGCTGTTCAACCGACACCCGGGCGCTCATCTTACCCAGAAACAACTAAAGCACGTATTTTGGATTAAGACCTGAGCGACAGAGTTCGGCTACCTTTTGTATCGAAGCTTTATACTGATCTCTACTTCTCGTCTGTAATATCTAGTTATCTATGCCCAAATATGCGGCGCTGTGCAACTTTGCCGCTCTCACGTGAAAAGCCTTAGCCAGTCTGAAAAACGGTCTTCAAAGTAAACTAAGGAAATTGCTCAGCTTCAATCCCAGAACTTGGAGCGAATGTCCCTGTAGTGGGTTGCATCACAAAAACAACTTTGTATAATTCACTTTTGGGTGTAGTAAACAAGTGGTTTCTTCTTGAATATGTAGCTTAGTGTGTAGTTGGTGTGATGTGTTGTACTTCCTTCAGTTTTCCTTATTTGGGGGTGATGACTGTGATTTAATCTGTATCGGCTTTAGCTCAAACAGTATCGTCCCATGGTTCGTCTTGAAATCCAACTACGGTCTCGTATTTGACGTGTGCTGGTTGGACAGACCTCGACAATCTCCTGAGGACACACTGCTAGGCTATTTTGCAGTGAGTACTGCGCAAGGAGTAGTGCTCATATACAGGTTTGAATTTTATCGGTTTGAGATGTTCGTCGTTCAGTAGGGGTTCCTTATCGTCCCTCGCAAAAACTGACTTGCTCATAGCTGTTTACTTGGGTTGTTTACTACTCTTTCGATTTGAGAATCAAAATCCTGTTCCTTTTGCAGGATAGATACGAATACTATCTCATCAAGTCTTCTCGTTCGCAAGGTGTACCAGTTGTTAGCCCAGAACCTGGTCCTCATCTTACGACAACCAAAGAACGTATTTTTGGATAAGCCCGAGGATGAGGTTCGGCTGATTTTGTTTCGAAGCTTTATATGATTCTCCTTGCTCGTTGTAATATCTAGTTTTTTTTACGTCCTTTTACTGTTTAGAATTCCGAGCAACCGTTTTCTCCACCAGTATACGCTCTCACGTGGAGCGCAAAGTGCAGTGCGCAATACATTGTTGGTGTGAATGCAGCGGGTAAGAAGCTCACCTAGAACTTTTGATTCCAGCTGTTACCTAATAGATCTTATGTAGGTGGTGCCGTAATCTGGGATCTGCAACGTTCTATTGATACTCCACAGGTTCTTTTGGACTCTACATGGTCATCACCAGTTACAGCAGCATCGTTTATAGGACCTTATGAAGGTAAGAAGCAAGATTTTGCATAAATAAGAGATGTCACTTAGTAAGTGATTGGTTTTTTGAAACACGAATTTTATATCTAAACAACATTTTCCAATTGTAATCAGTGACTTTAGTTGCACTGGCTTTTCGAGAACGTCTAGTTCGTGTCTACGATGTCCGCTCGTATGAGTGTTCATTGGAGGAAAACGCCGTGCGAACAGCAGGTGAGATATCATTTTCAATTTTCAAGAAGTTCGAATTGGAAATACGCCTCCGGGGTCTGAGTAGAGGTGAGGGAACTTTTGATTGTGCTTTGAATATTCAATATCGTAACAAACTCGCTCCTTGGTAACGTCTTGGCTTCCACTGTAAGTGTCACTCTATCCGTTCATTTCATGTTTCATTACAGCCTTTATTATATGCTTTGGTCTATAATTATAATTTCATTGCACTAAAGTTGACCACCAGCAAATACTGATGGTGAGGTATGTTGTTAGCAAACGTTGTAAAGGTGTTCCGTATCTCAGGCTCTCGCGTGACTTCTCAGCCGCGACTATTCTCTGGCTTCTTTGCCTTTCAATCAGAATATTTTGCCACCGGTGATATACCGACCAACGGTGTTAGCTTCATTTGTACGGAAACAAAGTCGGGTGGATATTTCGTGGTTCCACTTGGCAACAGGTTGGTTTGGATGTTATAATTTTTTTGCTGCTATGAAAAGTCTTGATGTGATTGCTGTAGACATGGACTGATGACGTGGGATGTTGCAGCGAGTTCAGTAAATGCAACTGTTGCGAGTTGCGGAGTGGACGGAAGGGTACGTAGTTCAGTGTATGATATTTAGGATCTTCACATATTGGGCTTAGGCACTATTTACTTCTTAGCCCACTCCTTGGGAAACTTAGCCAGTTTTTTAAAAATTTCCATAACTGTACTAGATTTGGCTGCAGAAAGTTGACTCAAAGAAGTTAGGCCACCAGGAACAATCAACTATATCACATCACGTTTTAGCAGTTACCGCTGGCGCCCGTGCCCAGGGTGCCTGCGCGCGAACACGGCGCGTAATGGTCGCTGACCGACATTTACCACGATGTGATGGATTTGGGGTCGTCAGAGGGGTTCGGGGTCTCCGTAGAACATACATAACCAAGATTAGTTCACGATCGATTGTGAGCACTGTTGCCTCTGTATAGCACGGCGGACAAACTGCGGGCATAGCGCTGGCTTGGCATCGAGGTTTTTCGAGTAAAGGGTGATAGTGATTATGTTCAGAGGTCTACGGGAAATCGGGAATGAAATCATCACCAGAAGACAACTTTTCTTAGCAAAATCCTGAGATCATGAATCAAATTTCTAATTTTCACTCATTCTTTGAAAGTTCTAGGTTTTTGGCGGTGCCAGTTAAATTTGAGAATAAGTGCCTCATAATTATTCTTTACTTCATAATCTAATGTTTGGTAGAACAACATTTACTTGTTTTTGCTATGTCAACCTGCGCTGGCCCATAAGCCTCCATATGAAGTATTGGCTAACTTTAGCTACTCTTTGTAGTCATATAATGCCGTCCTCTGAGATATGCGCAGTCTTGTGATTATGAATTTTCCCTCTATAAGTCACAAGCACGTAACACTTTTAAGGTACATGTGTATTTCAGAGTTTATTCCTTCATTCATTTTAGTAGCTAGCATACTTATTTTAAAGCGAGACGAGGTAAGTGTAACAGTTGAGCCTGAAACTGTGAATGGGTACGCTGGTATTCAAATGGAAGTTCCGGACATGACATTAACCAAAGTTCCTAAATCGAAAGACAGCTTCCGGTTCGACAGGGCTGTTACAGTTAGCTCTGTACACGATCCTGGAGGAGACGTTGCAGCATTTATGGCTTGACATATCCTTGAATTCTGATCCGGTAAGTGAATCTTCTCTCTTTATCTTGCTTACAACTTCATGGTGTTTGTGTGTACTCTTTAAACCAGATGCGGAAGTAATTTATTTTTTCCATGGCTGGCACTTCTGAAAGCTGGATCGGAGTACCACTAGCTTTACTTTGGACACACAACATAATCTTAGAAATCGAACGCAATCTATCAATTTTTTGTCTGTTCGGGTAGTAATGTAAATAAGCGCGTTGTGCTCACCTGCAGCGGATATCTAATTTATGCAGAAAACTTTTTCGACTATGATCAATAGGTGTTTGTAACGGAGGTAGATAGTATCAAGAAATACTGCTCCACGAAATTCTGATAGATTGACCCTTTAAAAAAACAGCAAGTCCCTATTGTTATCATACAGTCTGGAACTTTCGGGCCTTTTATTTTGTTTTGATCTCAACATCTGAAAGATCCCATTTATCCCAATTAGATGACATGGTGTTTTCTTAAATGGCTCACAAACTCTCTGAATATCTGGCTGGATTTATAAGCGGCTTAAGACCTAAGACGATGTGTGGTCTTTACGTTCAAGCGAGGCTAGGAACAAATTATGGCTCCTCTTTGCCTTCGTTTGCTTTTCCTATTCTGTGTTAATCAAAACAGAGACTGTTCTATGGAAAAAGAAAAGTGAGCACGGAAGGCTCCCAGATTGATTTTTATTTCATCTACTGGCTCTCATACAGCTATTGATGTATTCTTACCTGTGCTACGTTCTATACTCCTTTTGGATTAGAGCAAAGTTGAGGTCATCGCTAATATCTTTTTCTGGAGCTATCGCAAAGTGCCGGGGGCACGTTTTCAGGGTAACCTAGGCAGAAACTTCGAAGCAAAATGAAACTTATTACTGTCGTCTGGAGCCTTTCTCTCAAAGCTCAGTCCCGCTTCAATAAAATACAAGGTTTCGACCGCAGGTCTTCACGATGCTCAGCACGCAAGGCCCGGCTATCTTGCAGATAGCGGCTCGCCTTTTCTTCCGTAGCGAGTCTTTATCAATGACCATCTGATGTGAATTCTACATGTGAAACAAATGACCGATATTAGGATTTGAACAAGAATATTGTTTTACAAGGAATTTAACTCATGAAGTCTTCTCGTTCTGTGGGAAATTATTCTTACTCGTCTACGTTGCATATTAAATTACCAGAGCCTCTTTCGTGAAATTAAGTCTATAGCCCAATAACTCCCTTGATTCTGGGAATGTAATTCCAATTCATGTGGGTAACCCTCAAGTTGATTATCCCTGAAATTGCTGACGATGACGATTGGTCGTCCAATGACGACTCGTTGGTTGTCATTTCAATGCATCGCCCGCGACGAGGAATTCAAAGCCGCTGGCGAATGATTCATTGCTGATTTAGTCCTAATAATGCTGTCTGTGTATGCAAAACAAGAATCTTCTGTTTGATGTTTCATAGTTCGTATTCTGAGAAGAGCGCATTCTGACGTCAGAACTATAGCAACTGAATGTTAACTCGAACAACATAGCGTGTGAAATGAGTGTTCATGTCCAAATGCCGTATTGTTGAATTCTCCACCCACAACAGTTTAAGGGCGTAGAGGTGCGTCATGTGATTCCACTCGTTGGCCAAGTGGTTTGGTCCAACTTATAAAAACAGATGAGCAAAATTGGTAAAGCGTCAAGTGTACATACACGACGCGCATGGTCATAGAATCGAATTCTGGATCGGCTTCGATCTCGGCCAATCGAACTCACCATACCTTCGAGTTATGTTGGTTGGTCGTCTGGAAAGGTAAGACTCGAAATGTGCACTGGCTGGATACCGCAACTCAATATGTAGTTCAGCAATTTTGAAATCAAACTTTTTGCCCGTTGATTTGCGTGTTTGATGAATCTCATCGGTTCTGCCCTCTTCAACGCTAACGCTCCCTCTTCTAGAGCGGCTAGAGTCGGATGGCGTGGTCAGCCATTGGTAGTAGTGAAGCAAAGCATCTACGGCCCTGCTAGGCCGCTGATGGCATATCCTTCGCTGGGAAACGTGCATCGTCCTACACCCTTAGCAGACCCGCCTGCCTTTCCACTACATTTTCCCTCATTCGACTTCTGACCCTGCTGCATATAGGCCCCCTGCTACGGTCCACTCGGACTTTCAGGAACATTGTGAGCTGGTTGGAGATGTTGGATGTGGGGGTTGTTAAAGAAAGAAAGGATAATTCGGCTACTGCCTGCTGAAATCCCCTTGGCGACACGATTTTCGTTGCGTATTTATGTGCGTTTGTTGTGTACTTGTGGAGATTATGGACCAACTACAGCAATGCCTGACTGGGGGTACGTTGCAGCTTGAAGTAAGCTTAGGACTAAGCCTTAGTCTGTCCAGCTAAAGCATAAGCCAGTGCAATAAGATAAGCCTGCGCAGTGAGCCCAACCCAAGCTTAACCTTTGCTTTAATGTATCGTCGCAGACTTTTGCCTGGTAAAAAAAAAAAAACCCCCCCGCTACCCCCAGGAAGAGGACTGAACGTCCCGCCCCCTGACCGGGGGATGGTCCCCACAATCTGCAACGTGCTGGAAATTTCTGAACCATGTATATGCGCGTCATCACGCCAGCAGTAGGGACCGAGAGTTTCGGGGCACCACCTCCGACTGGTTACTGCAGCACATGGGTCTATGAAGATGTCATGTGAAGTCTGCACGTATCAATGCCTTCGAGTATATCAGGGTTGACTAACCTAGCGGTACCAGGCTCTGAAAGTTCGTCGCATCGCCTTCATTTGCACTGCAGTTTTTGCCTGTGATTAAGTAGTGTGGTCAGCCTTGGATGAGTACCGAAATAACAAAGCACTTAGCAGCCTTGAACTCTCGGACTACACTTTTCATGCCGCTGCTGTTACACTCCTACTGAAAGCCTATTTTACAGTGACTATAAATTGTTAACATAATTCAAGAATAGGAACCTGAGAGTATAGTGCAGGTTCCTCAAATAAATGTGTAATGTAGGCAGGGTTTATCACTTTCCTATGAATTCTACGAATAGAAAAGTAATGAGTTGAAAAAGAAAATAAAAATAAGTAGAATATGGTTGAATGAATATCCTCCATCCATCGCATTTGAAACTAGATTTACCAGGAGTTTGCTATACATTTCCTGAATTACGGTAGTAACTAATAGACTTACGTTTTCATTTCTTGGATTTCATAATTTTGTATATTTCATCAATTTTTGCGCAATTTCTTCCCTCAAATTCACATACGATCAGTTTTACTTCTTGCTCCTCTGCATGATTAATTTGTGCGTCAATGTCAAGGTTTATTCGTCTTTCCCCTGTGTCTTTATTTCGCCAACTCACTGATGAGCTCCGGGGATTGACGAAATAATAAGGTTCGTCTGAGGAAGGAGCGAAACGAACCATTCCAGTTATTTAATCTGTTTTCGAAGGTTTTTTCTTTCTTACTCGAAGTTGCAGTTTTCTGAGGAAAAAGAAAAAACAGGAAAAATAGCCAACATAACGATAGAAAACATGTACCACTATAAATACTCGTTGAAAGTGTTCTGACTAGTGTAAGGCTCTAGCCTACGCGTACAAATCAAAGTGGGTCCCAGGATGCGTTCATAGTCCACGAATTCTTTGCTGACCCCGCAGCCTTTTTCTCCTATGAAATGGTGCATACTATGTTCGAAAAGAGGTCTAATGAAGTGGTTAGCGGAAAAAATCGAGATGTTTAATGAAAAATAATCCATCCAACCTCAAAATGATTCTTTTAGCAAGCATCTCGAACTCGCCTGGAATATTCCGCATTGGATCTCCGTATTGAGTCGTTGAACTGTGTGGCGACGAATCACGCAGCAAGGTTAGGATTCGTTATAATGATTTATCTCCTGTTCGTTCTGGTACGTTCTAGTATTACGAATAGGCCTATCTAAGGAGTTGACAAATGGTTGGGATTAGTACTCTTAAGCTGTAAAACATCCTTAGAATGCCACATCAATTGTTAAGCCTGATGACAGCTTCTCTTGGTGCGCGTCATATCTGTAATGAATGAAATATCCATGGCAGGACACGCCCAGAAGGAAGTATTCCTGATTGCCTCAGCATATAGCATTAGATCTCCCTTCAAACGCTGCCTCAAATCTACCTTTCACGTCTGATAGACAATTCTCTGAAGAGAGTTATGAGCAACCAAGAGGTTTCGATCCATCCCATTTCTACTGTTTGCTTTTTCTCAGCAAAATCGAGTACATAGGCTTCACCCTGCGTTCATTGCAAAAAGCGAAAACGTAAACACAAAATAGCGAGATTGATCCCAACCATCTTCGACTGTGAGTCTCGACCACCAGAGTTTACGGCACTTAACGTCGTAACTCCCTTCAGAAAGTCGTTCAGCAGGTTTGAAAGGTAGATTTGAGATCAGCAGTTGGAGGCGGATCGATACACATCTCCTATTGAATTGGCGACCTGGGATCCTTTCCATCGGAGTTTGGAGGCATATGGGGATGCGTTTAGTCGCAAGCGGGAGAGCTAAAATCGCTGCCATGCCCCTAGCACATGCCTATTCTGTCCACTTGTGTGAGCATTCTTTTTCTTTCAGCCATTTGTTTTCACCGGAGGGCAGGCGGGATTGATGTTCATCCGGCCGTGCGTCATGGACACGGAAGTACCGGTAAGTGTCTTTTGAGAGGTTTTTAGATAGAAACTGAGGTCGTTGAAACTGGTGCTTATGACGTGAAAGGTGACGCAGAAAGCATTTTTGCGTGGTTTTGGTAGTCGATTCTGAAAGAAGATCAATGACGACCGAATTTATGAGCCTCAAGAACTCAGCAATTCTTCGTCAAAGACATCGTAAGGGGAATTTCAAATGGTCGTTGAACTTCTTGAAGAGGGAAGCTGATATGAAGAGTTTTGGGTGTTTGTGGTCAGAGAGTTCAATTGCGGAGTCGATGTTTTTCGCCCCACCCCCTCGTTTTGCGAACGTAATACGTCACAACACGAATGTTGCCATGCTTTTTACACATGGCCCATGGAAACGGCCGGAAGATCCATGATGTTCTGCGCTTGATTTGTTGAGCAGCATATGCTTGGAGATGAAAACAACGGCCATGTAACTCAAAGTCGCCGTGCTTCGGCAGGATTACTGCGATATATTTCGGTAGGGAAGTGCGTGCTTCGCAGTTTTACTGCGAATGTATTTTGTTAGGTTTGTTGCAGTAGGAGGAAAGTGACTGATTGGTGAAACTCTATAGGTGCTAGGAAAGGAAAGTCTTTCAGGAAATGCCCAGCTTTCTCGAAACGGTTTTTTGCATGATATAGGGGTACGTGCATGGAACACAGAACTGTAGTTCATTTTTCCTGAGCGGCCCTCTGAATACCAAAAAAGGGTGATGAAGTGGTCCGTGGTTCGAATCCTCGCAGTGACAATTTTTTTGCATTTTGTGTTGGCGTTTCAATTCGCGAAAAATAGCGTCAGCGTAAACAACTTATGTCATATCTATAATTAGGACCATCAGCAACCTTTATACGTAGACTTTGGCTAAAAAACTGGTGAAGAAAGTTAAGAACGGCAGTTCCTTAAGAAATTTTTCTTCGCTCCTTTTTTGGTATTCAGAGGGTCGCTCAGGAAAAATGAACCACAGTTCTGTGTTCCATGCACGTACCTCTATATCATGCAAAAAACCGTTTCGAGAAAGCTGGGCATTTCCTGGAAGACCTCCCTGGTAAGCGTATATCGACCATGGGAACTGTGACGAAGTCGAGCTGCGAGGTCGATTTTATGAACCTGTGAACATCGGCTTCTATGGAGCGCTTACCTGTCGGGTGAAGAAGCAGAAGTTGACGCCCCCCCCCTTCCTTGCTCATCGGTTCAAGTACTCGCTGTTGCGTCCGTTATGCTTCTGCCACGAGATTTGTAGGTGGAAACTTTTTATGGCCAACGTTTCGACCTTCACGTCGTTTTCAAAGGCCTAAACATGGCTCAAGGCTTAAGGATTGCTCACTATCCCACCAAACGCCTCATCCCTTCTAGCGTTTCTGACTCATCTCAGGAACGCAAGGAAATACCCAAAATATTGAAAGATAAGCTCACCTCAGGGATCCACCGCTGGAGTGTAGGGCTACACTCAG